TCTAGGCTATGGTTTGGCACTTCATGCCTGAACCAAGTTACAGTTTTATATCAGCAAGATCAAAATGGAGTAGGTGTAGGAGGAGAGCTCTGTCCCTAAACTTAAAATCTAAATCAGGAGTGGAGAGACTTTGGTTTTTTAGTGTGCTTTTTTCTCTGGAGTCAGGTTCCCAGAGCCCAGCCCTTATATTCTGCTCCTCAAGATGAAGGGGAGGAATCTCGGGGTGAGAAATCTGCCTTCAAAATTGTGTTTCTGTATTTTTCTCATTTTTTTAACTTACACTTGATATTTATTATTTGAATGGCATACTTTGAGTAGCTGTGGTTGATGCTTAATGTATCACTGTGCTAATGATATCACCAGGGGTTGCGCCTTGTAACATCACTGGGCCCCATCTCCTGTGACATCACAAGGAGTTGTCCATAGGTCTCAGGTTTCAACCTTGAAATCTCAGGGCCTGGGATAGTCGTGACCCAGTAACCCTTTGTTGTTGTTTGCCTTCAAGTTGTTTCTGACTTATGATGACCCTGTCATTGTGTGTTTTTGGCAAGATTTGTTCAGAGAGGGGTTTGCCTTTGCCTTCTTCTGAGGCTGAGAGAGTATGACTTGCTCAGGGTCACCCAGTGGTTTTCCATGGCCAAGCAGGGATTCGAACCCTGGTCTCCAGAGTCTATAGTCCAATGTTCAAACCACTACATCATGCTAGTTCTCTGTCTGGTTATCCTACTCTGGCATAACCTGTAAGGGGCTAAATGCCAGTTCAGGGCAAGGAAGAAGCCAGTGATGGGAGAGATCACACCCTTTCTTTCTCTTTGCCACCTTTGCTCTGTCTGACCCATCCTTTTACTTTTCACTGGCCCACCTCCCCTCCCTCTGCCAGTCCTATCTTTCCATCTGTCTTCCCCTCACTGTGACATCTCCACTCAGTCTCCCACTCTCTGCTGCCATCTTCTTTCCTTCTCTTTTTCTCTGCCTAGCAAAGAGGGACCGATCTGAAGTGATGATTTGCACACAACTTTTGAAATCCATCCGTTGGCTGCCAGTTGTACCCTTGATGTGAACATTGCCCTTCCAGGAAACCAAAGGGAGGAGAAGCAAAAGTAGCACATAACCAATATGAATTAATCACTTTTATGAACCAGGAGTCTTTTAAAACCCATCTGTTTTTGAAAATAATAGAAACACAGAATTGGAAAGGGCTTCATGCCATTGAGCCCAACCCTCTGCTCAATGCAGAATCTCCCCAGCAGGTAGCTGTCCAGCCTCTTTTTGAAGACGTCCAGAGAAGGAGAAGCCACCAGCTCTCTAGGCAATTTGTTCCATTGCCAAAATGCTCTTACTGTCAGGAAGTTCCTTTTAATGTTCAGTCAAAATCTATTTTCCTGTAACTTAAAACCATTAGACTAGTCCTATCTTCTGGGGCAGCAGAGAACAGGCCTGCCCCCTTCTCTTTGTGACAACTCTTGAGGTATTTAAATAGTGTGATTGTGTCACCTCTCAATCTTCTCTTCATCTAGCTGAACTTGCCCAGTTCCTTCAACCTTTCCTCATAGGTTTTATTCTCCATGCAACCTTTCTTGTTGTCCTTCTCTAAACCTGCTCCGACTTGTCTATATCCTTAAAAGGAGGTGCCCAGAACTGGATGCAGGACTCCAGATGAAGCCTGACCAGTGCAGAATACAGTGGGCATATTACTTCCCTCAACTTGGAAACTGTGCTTCTGTTCATGCTGTCATTCATAACAAGGGTGTGGCTTTAAGAGCCCATTACATCAAAAAGCCCAGCAGCATTGGCTTTCTGCAAGTCTTCCTGGTCCAATTCCATGTGCCAAATATATATGCCTATAAATCCTGAAAAAGTTCTAGCCCAGTCTCCTTGTTTAATCTTTCACTGGAACCCCCAGCATCTTTCAAGAGAGCCCGCTGAAAGGCACGCTTGACCCCAGCAAGATAAATCCAATATCAATGGATGGGCTAGCTCAATGCAATTGCTTTATGCAGATGACACTGTGATGAGGAGGGAAGCTGTGAACTGCTTGCAGGCATTGTGTAACATTTTCCTGCAACAGTAAAGCAGGAGTCGGCTGAGTGCAGCCTTCCAGATGTTGTTAGACTGCAACTCCCGCTATCTCTGCCCAGCATAACCAATGGCAAGGCATGCTGGAATTGGTAGTCAAATAAATGGAAGGCCACACTTTGCCCATTTGTGCACTCAAAGAACCATGTTACTGGACTGAGTGGTGAAGCAGAGCACAACTATCAGACCATGCTGAACTTTTCACCCTGCAAACTACATTCCAGAGATAGCACCACTCACACGCTTTTAGCTGGGAAACTAATTGGACTGCTCTTCAGCTCGAGAAAGCCTACATTTAGGCAGCCT